TTTTTTTCCTCTTCTTTCTTCTTCTGGTTGCGCTCTGATCATCCAGTCATTGAAGCCAGGTCAAGTGGGTATTATCTGCAAGTGTGGGTGTTCCTGTTTGTTTATATTTTGATGTGTAGGTGTATGAATTTTCTTTGCGGTTACCCTCTACTTTATTTTCTCCATTTTAAACTGTTCATTTTATCTTAAATTACTTGATGTCCTTGCCATTTGGAAGTTCTGTCTACACTATTCCCTTTTTTGTTTTGTTTTGTAGTTGATTTCATTATAAATAGATTATCTCTAGTTCCCCATTTTTAACAATGTAGTTCTGTTTCACTTTAAATAGCGGTATTGCGTTTTGGGTGATGTTGTCATGAATGGTAATCTCAGGTTGTTGTGTGTTGTTGTTGATCCTCAGTCCAAAGACCACCCTATAGCATATATTGTAAAGTTGGTCTGGTCATTGCAAATTCCTTTTAATTTCTGTTTATCAGGAAACATCCTAATTTTGCTGTCATATTGAGGGACAGCTTTGCTAGATAGATGATTCTTGGTTGGCAATTTTTTTCTTTCAGAGTTTTGTATATGTCATACCATTGCCTTCTTGCTTATGTAATTTCTACTGAAGTACCAGAGTTTGTAGTCTTAACTGGTATTGGGTCTCCTTTGTCGGTGAGTTTTCATTTTTCCTCGGTGGCTCTCAGGAAAGGTCTGTTGCTTTGACCTTGCATTAATAGTCCTTTTCTGAAATTTAGTATTAATTGTCTGGATTTCTAAATGCAGGTTTATATTGTTTTAAATTTTGCGTTTATTTTATCTGTTTGTTCTTGAAGTGTTTTCTTGGATTCTTCTAAAAATTTTTCTGTGTTCTCCTTGTTTTCCTTGCTCTTTCTATCAGTCCTTTGAAGGTACTTAAGTATCATTCTTTTGAATTCCTTTTCAGTTCCGTTACCTTTTTTCTTCAAATGTTCTATGGCTTTGCATCTTGGTCATTTAAGCCATATTTTTCTTTTCTTTTTTTTTTTTAAGTTTTTATTGTGAATTATGTGATAGTTTACATGGGATAACATTAGCTTTATATTCATCCTATCGTATTTCATTTCATTGCAATGATTACAGTTCCCTGCATGCATCATCAAACAGCCAAAGGATGTACCCTGCAAGCCTGCCCCCTGGCTGCCAACACACAGTCCCTCTCCCTCCCAGAGTCCAGAGTCCCTAGCCTCTCCATCTCTCCACATCATCGTCTCTACCTCCATCTCTGGCGTCATCCCTGCTTCTCTGGATAGGATCCCGCACTCCGCTCTTCTCCTTTGATGATGCCAGGGTCCTCTGCTCCTGGATGGCAAAATCAACCACTCCCCTCCTTTTGTTACAAAATGTCTACCTTTACATTTGTAGCCTTCATAATCAGTCCTGATAACAATTATTCACTACTGAACCACAAGAGTCTTATCCCTATCTCCTTTTACCAGCCCTGTCCAAACAGGTTGGAAATCACTCAGTGAACAATCTACCTTCCCCCGCATCCTCTGAAATTAGGCTCCCTCTTGAAAGCTTGTAAGCCAGTCACTTCTTGCCTTTGTAGCACCTCCTCCCTCCCCCCCATTTTGTGGGTAGCCACTGTCTAAGTTGCCCATCCCTGTCAAGCCTGTGTAACGAGGGGGTGGGAGTGATTCCCGCTGTAAATATTTGTTCCCTTTGTTTGAGCTACTGCAGCCACAAACAGATTACTCTTTTTTCCTCTTCTTTCTTCTTCTAGTTGAAGTCTGATCATCTAGCCATTGAAGCCAGGTCAAGTGGGTACTATCTGCAAGTATGGGTGTTCTTGTGCATATGCCCTCTCTTCTTATCAGCTGGATGCTTCTCTCTCCACTCTAGTCCTCTGTGACTGTGTCACTGACTCTGAGCCCAAGAGTCCCCAGGTCTTGCTTGCCACACTGCTGGCCAACCAGGTCTCCACCCGGGTTCACAGGAGTCTTTTGAACGTGGTCAGACTTAGCTCACAACTTCATTGCTGTTTTTCCCCCACTTCCTCTTATCAGTGACCAACATACTCAGCAACAAGACTACATGACTGCTCATGTATTCCCCTTGAATCTTAGTTTTGGAAGGGGGTTTGCCCTGAGGGGACCTCACCACTTGCCTTGATGGCTCCCTTGTGAACGACTTGCTTGTTCTTGTAGTAGTCATTCAGACTGCCATTTTTCCTGCTGGTCTTTCTTTCTTTCAAGAAGTATCTTCATTTTATTCTAGCCATTCCAGGCTGGTCTGCTTGTCCTTTCAGTGGAAATTTCCTACTTTAAATGTTCTGGATGGGGTTCAGGATTTCACCTATGGTCTTATGCAGTGCAAAGGCTCCACAGGAAGCCTCCTTCACTGGACAAGTTCTAGCCCCATTTTAGGTATTCCAATCAGTATAAGAGCCATTTTCCTCTTATTTCTTTGTGTGAGCTAAAACTATCTGTTGTCTCTGGGGCATTGAGTGATTGTTTGTTTTAATTGATGATTGTATGTTGATGTGTTATTAACTACTCACCAACTATCTCCTATGGGTATAGTTAGAGAATGGAAGCGTGTACACTGTTCTCCTTTGCTGTTCATGCACCTCAATATGGTGGGTTTGGCTGGTGTTGACTGATGTCTATCTTTGATCAGATGGTATTGGAGCTGGTATTGACTCTCACCCCATGGGTGGAGATGCAAAAAGTATGGTTGTGGCTGGGCTATATGGGCATGGTGCTCTCTCCTGTCAGATGGGAATGAGAAAGCCCATCCCCCACATATACACAAGAAAACAAAATAATAAACAAACAAGGAGCCAATGAAAAGAGGATATAATATAGAGGGGAAAAAAAGTAAAACAGGCAGCAACCAGGAAAAAAAAATTGTAATAACTAACTGTAAAGAAAAAAGAGGGATATGAAAATGGAGCTATAGAAGAGAAAAATAAGCGAAGAAATTTAAAAAACAATGACACTTAGGAAAAATAGAATAGAGAGCAGTAAAGAAAAAACAAAAGAGAAATAAGAAACAAGAAAAGGAAAAATAAAATTGGAGAAAGAAAGGTTAAAATTCAAGGGAATGAAAAGAGGAAGAGGACGAGGAGACAGAATAAGCAAAAACAGTGACACAACAGAAGGAAAAAAAAACAAGATAAAAAAACAGTGTAGCTATTGTACCTGGATAGGAGGGACTCTTATAAACCAAGGAGCTCAGGCGGTGGGGGTGGGAGGGATGTGACAGCAGAGTTCCTGACCTGAGATAGAGTTCTTATAGGCCTAGGTCTTATCTATGTTCAAATCACACCCAATCCAGAAGGAGTTTTTGCAGGCACTTGATAGAGTTGGATGGCAGCTAGGGGAAGGGTGACTGGTTAAATGCTGGTCTGGTGGCTCTGTGGATTCTGTAGGTCTGGAGCCAAGCTTGCCAGAATCCAAGCACCAAAGGGGTGCGCTGGCCCAGTCTCACACTGGCATGGTTCCTTACCATGTGCTCTGAACTCCTGGAGAGCAAGGTCTGTGCTGGAGATGGATGAAGTTGTGAGATGGCCACTCATCTGGTCTCCACGGGAGTGTAGGGATAAAGAAGGAATCACACCTGTGTGAATTTGCCAGACTTGCTGCTCACAAGATGGTTGTGCTGCATCTGGCTGACCGTCCGTCCACCTGTCAGTCTCCCTCTCTCATTGTCCCTTCTTGGCTTCTCCTCCCCGCTAGCATTCAACCCACTTCTAACCTTTACCCTGAAGATCAGGGTTCCAGAAAAATTGTGTCAGTTTCATTTGATCTCGCATCTTTGTTTGCATCTGCCTAGTGCTCCATCTTGCTGAAGTCCTCCGTAATGTACTTTTTAGTGATTGTGAAATAGAACAGTATACAAATGTGTAGCAGTTGCCTCCCTGCTTTCCCTAGAGCATATTGCTCTTAACTGTTCCTTGTTTCCCAGATATCCCTTGGCTAAATCCATGCCCTCCTTCAGTTTTTGCCTGCTTCGTTTTCCTAATGATGCTTACCCTGTTGTTGTTAGGTGCCATACAGTCAGTTCTGACTCATGGCAACCATATGCACAACAAAACACTGCCCGGTCTTGTGCCATCCTAACTATTTTTTATGTTTGAGACCATTGTTGCTGCCTCTGTTTCAGTTCATCTCACTGGGGTTCTTCCTCTTTTTTGCTGACCCTCCATGTTACAAGCATGATGTCCTTCTCCAGGGAGTGGTCCTTCCTGATAACATGTCCAAAATATGTGGGATGAAGCCTTGCTATACTGGCTTCTAAGCAGCATTCTGGCAGCATGTCTTCCAACACAGATTTGTTTGTTCTAGCAGTCCATGGAACTTTGAATACCATGGTTTCCTTATTTAATACTGCAGCTTGCTTTTTCTCTCTCCTGCCCTGAACTTTAGTCTCATTAACTTGGTTTTTCTTTTTTTTCTCATAGTTCTTGTCACTTCCTGACACTGTATATATTTTATATTTTTCTATTCTTCCTACTAGACCAGGTAGGTTGCCCATAGACCAAACCTGCTAGCAATCTGTTTTTGTAAATAAAATTCTACAGCCCACTTACATATTTGCATATGATTGCCTTAGCTTGTAGGGTCTTGATGTGGTGCTGTGGGATAAGCACTGGACTGCTAACTGCAAGGTCAGTAGTTTAAACATACCAACAGTTCTCAGCAATGGAACCGACTTGACAGCACACTGCAACACCATCGTGATTGCTCTTGTGATACAGTTGCAGAGATGAATAGCTGCCAAAGAGATATGGCCCCCCCAAATATAAATTACTGATCTTTTGTAGAAAAAAATTGTGCTGACCATTATGCTAGAGTACAAAGCACCTAAGGCTGAGACCTTTTGTGTTTGTTGTTATATTTTCATTGTCTAGAACAGTGCTTGGCACAGACTGAGTGTGCAGTTGCAGATTTGCATTTGTCTAATAGTTTGCACCTTTTTCCCCAGATGATCTTCCCATTCCAGTGGCAGTGCCCGTATATCCCTCTCTGTCCTCTCTCCCTGTCGGCTGTGCTCAGTGCACCTTTACCCTTCATAGTCGGAGTTGACTCCAGGTACTTTGACCTTCATGACCCACCACAAGACGTTGTTTGCATTGACTTGGACACAAACATGGTATATATGTAAGTTGGTTTGTAGTATTTCCTATTAAAAACTTTTTTTTCTTATAGATAGTGCTGTTCTTTGAAAACATCTGGAAATAGGCTCCTTTTGAAACTTGTTAATATGTCTTCACCTTTAATATAGCAATTGTCAACCAGAGCAGTTATCAAAATCCAGAAAGGCTGTGTGGTTTGAAAAAAATACCTGTTCAGTAGTATATCAGTTTGTATTTGGATTATGTTATCAGGAGATGCCTATCAAAAAGAGTATGGACTTGGAAAAAGAATGACTGTTTAAACATAATTTTCCAATCTCAACTGATGCTGTGCTTCTGGGTTTAATTCAAAATCCATATGTAAGCTTTTTTAAAAATGATTTTTTTTTTTTTTTGAGATGAAAGTTTAGTTATATCACAAATGGCTGCCTTAAGTTGATTTTCTTGTAGTTCAGGGTCCTGACTCTAGAGGGAGAAAGCTTTCTTGCTGTGTCAATTCTTGGGGGGATGATCCTGTCTCTGGTTCCTTGGAGATCATCTTGTGGTTGACATAAAATAAGATTGATTTTAAAACACACCCTACAGGAATCCTATCTCATTAAAGACAAGTGGGATTATAAGAGGGCTTGTTGTTGTTGTTAAGTGACGTGGAGTCGATTCTGACCCATAGCGACCCTATATAGGGTTTCCAAGCAGTAGCTGGTGAGCTTGAACCACCAACCTTGCTGTTCAAAGGACTTTGCAGTCTGACGCATTAGCTCACAGCGCCACACCAGGACTTGCCATAAACAGGGCTTTGTTGTTGTTATGTGCTGTGGAGTTGGTTCCAACTCATAGCGACCCTGTATAGGGTTTCCGAGGCTGTAAATCTTTACGGAAGCAGAATGCCTCATCTTTCTCCTGCGGAACCGCTGGTAGTTTGAAACTGCTGACCTTGAGGTTGGCAGCCTGACTCCTAACCACTAGGCTACCAGAGCTAGGAACCTGTTTATTCTGGTTTCAAGACCCTGCTAATCATTTACAATTCCACTCTAGGTATACTGAATCACAATCGGCAAGATCTTAATGTATAGATTGCTGCTGTTGTTAAGTGTCCTTGATCAATTGAGTCAGTTCTGACTCACAGTGACCTTGTATAGGGTTTCTGAAAGAGCAGATGATGGGTTTGAACCGACGCTCTTATGGCTCAAACTGACAGAGCTGTCAAGTGTTTTATCCTGCTGCGCCCCATCAGAACTCCTGCGTATAGGTGAATTTTTTCAGGTTATAATCCAGGGCTTTGGACCATTCATTCTAATTCTGCTCCTGCTGAGATTTGCATTTCTACCCCAGATAGATTGAATCAGAATCTACATTATAACAACATCTCTATGTGATTCTTATGCATAACTAAGGAGGTCTATAAGAATCACGTGGAGATCTTGTTATAATGTAGATTCTGATTCAATCTATCTGAGGTAGAAATGTAAATCTCAGTAGGAGCAGAACCAGAATGAATGGTCCAAAGCCACCCTGGATTATAACCTGAAAAAATTTGATAATACCAAACATCCCTCCCACAATACTTTCTATTCAGCTATGTTCCATCATCCGTTGTAATGGCCACATAGAACTCAGACACCATACTCACAGTTATGGTTGCTTATTAGGGAAATGAATAAGTTATGGAATTCAAGGTCAGAAATGTTCAGGGTATAGCTCTTTTAGTCAGGACAGTCTCTCTCTCCTTAGCCATGCCTACAGGCAGGCCTCTCTAGGACTGCTGATAAATGCCCATAGGATACACCCCTCCACCATAAGCTTCACCTGAAACCACTCAACTCTAGGTCCCTGGGTCAGGAAACCTAGCTCCCGCAACTAAGTGCCTGCAGACAGCCCGCACAGTAAGCAAGCCCACTGCTCTGTCTCATGCTCTGATTCTTGGTTCTGCTGCTCCCCTGTCACTCCTCCATTGTCACAGCTTTCTGTACCTGGATCAGGGAGGTTCAGTGCACAGGGAATCTCAGGGGCCAAAGAACGTACTTCACTCATGGTTATTCTTCTTTCATGGTAGTGAGGTTCCCCCTCCTGCCGCTGAGATAGTTAATTTTATACCCATGCTAGAGTTTCAAGTTCTTACAATTACAATTAACTCTACATTGGAGCTCTGGTAGCGTAGTGGTTAAGAATCGGGCTGCGAACCTCAGGGTCAGCAGTTTGAAACTGCCAGCTGTTCTGTGGGAGAAAGATGAGGCGTTCTGCTCCCATAAAGATTTACAGCCTCAGAAACCCTGTCCAGGGTCACTATGAGTCAGAACCGACTCCACGGCACATAACAACAACAACAACAACATTATAACTATAACATCCACAGCTGAATCATGTCATCCTATCAGTATCCTCTTACAATCATTTCTTACCCAGACTCAGAAAGACAGAAACATGGGAGTTACAGACTATGGCTAGAAGACCATCGACATAAGAGTTAGGGTTTACAACAAATATTTTGAGGGGATGTATTTTAATCCTTTGCAGCAGGATTTTAATTTTACAAGATTTATTCTTTACTGTGTGGAGATGAATATTAAAAATCAAACGATAGCTTGTATTTTTCTGGAGGTGATAAGTATGTACAGTAGCATATATCCCACATTTATTAAAAAAGCAATTCTGATGGGCTCTTAAGAACCAAGATGGCTTTAAAATGCTACCTTCCCCCTCAAAAAAAAGACAGGGAGAGTCAGTAAATATTGGGACTGTCCTGGTGTTGGTGCCCACTTTAAGTTTTTGTGCACTTTCGTTCGATAATAATTGAGAGTGGCAGAAAAGGAACTAGGGATGTAGGTTACATAGTCACAACAGTAGAATTAATTGAGAAACTGCCTAAATGAACAAATGAATGACTTAAGGAAGAAATGTTTACTATAGCTTAAAAACCAGTTTTGAAATGGATTTGCCATTGTAGTTAGAAGATACAAAGCTTCCGTAGCTTTGTTACTATAACCAAGCGGGGTGGGGTGGGGGAAGCTTCAGAAAGTTCTTGGAAATATTCCATTATCTTTTAATTCCATTTTCCACAAATTTATATATAGCTAAGAAGCAGGGAACTAATTGAAGGCATTTAACACACATTGTGTTGTTTTAAAGCCAGCTTCCCTGAAAAAGTTATCTGGAACTGAAACTGACCTGTTGTCTCAATTTTCATGTAAGTAGTAGATAGGTGGAGTCCTGATGTGGGTTAATGCTCTGGACTGCTGGTTTAAAACCACGAGATCAGCAGTTCAAGCTCACCTGCTGCTCCTTGGAAACCCTATAAGGGTTTCTATGAGTAGCAAATGACTCAACAGCACTTAACAACAACATACATTGAGGCACTTTTAGAAATGATTACTTAAGACGTTATTTCCTCAGATGTTTACCTTATTTACCAAATAAGAAAATATGGAGAGAGTTAATTTTTCACAATTGCAAATAATTTGCATAAAATAATCAAAATTTCTAATGATCAAAATATTATTTTTAAAGTTAACTTCAAAGTGTTCATCCCCAAACAATGTTTTTTTTTAGTATGGTATGGGGGCTCGTTTGACTTTTATAGCCTAATGTCTTCCATCACATAAACTCTTTTCCTTTGAATCTATAATATAATATTTATAGTTTTTAAGGACTTTTTATTAGGAGTTCAAGATACTCCAACAATTATTAACAAATATTAACATATTTAACATGATCCTTGGTATAAGAAAATTCAGTTGTTAGTATTATAAATTGGCACCAGTGTCTAAACTTGAGCTTATGGAGATTTTAGAGATAATAAAGTATAAAAAACATTTTGCAATTTTTCATTTATTTTATAATACAGCCCTACACAGCTTCAGAGTAGAACTAAGTGGGTTAATGGCAGAGTATTTCAGTTTCTGAGCATTGTTATAAACACTGGTTAGTTGATTCTGTCACATACCATGGAGATGCCTCTGACTCATGGCAATCTCGTGTGTGTGACAGCAGAACTGTGTACCTTAGGGTTTCCGGTGATTGCTTTTTCAGAGGTATGCCACTAGACCTTTTTTCTGAGATGCCGTTGAGTAAATCCTAACTTCTAACCTAATTTTTGGAGTTGGAGTTGAGCTAGCTTTTGTATTTAAGCTTTGCCTATTGGCTAGTGTGATTGACCCTGTTTAGTCAGAATGAGGGCTGCATTAACTAAATATACTTTAAGTAATTTAATCCTTGCATAAATCCCACTCTTTTTGAACACACAGTAATTTTAGAAGTCTACTAACCGTGATTTGAAGTCTCAAGTCAGCTCAGTTAGACATTTAAAATATAATTCTAAAATATATTAAGCAAGACTTCAGTGTTGTGTTCATAGCTCCAACATTGAATATCTGTGTTGAAAGATTAGAATGAGTTGAGCAAATTTGACTAAAGTTGATTGCACTAAAAGGAGAACTTCCATGAAAGCCCACTTATTCATTTATTAATTATAATTTTAGTAAAAATATGGTTTCTATTTTCTTTGTTTTCTGACATAAGAATTTTCTTTAGTGAGAACAGATGATAAATAACATTTTATTAACCATGTTCATATATAATAGATCAGATGAAAAGAAGAACATGAACTGGAAGCAGCTTCCCAAAAAGCCCTGCAAAAATCTACTTGGCACCTTAAAGAAATTGTATCCCCAGCTATCTTCAGGTAAATGTATTGGGGAAAAATATTTTTAATGAAAGAGTATATATGAGTAAAAAGATTCCTCTTAAGAATTTAAACATAGCTGTACTTTTACATTAAGGTTCTCACTATAGAGCAAAATTCTAATAAGAAATTAACATTGTGCTTCATCATTTTTTGAGCATATTCTGTCTGTTTTGTTTGCTTGAGTTTCCCCAGCAACCCTTGATAGCCCTGTGGAGCATTTCTGGGCATTAATGGAGAGAGGAGTTTCAAGAAGTCATAGGCATTGATTATTTTCCAAACCTGCCTTTGTATGTAATGTGTATGCATTTTATATTCCATTTTTTACTCCTACTTCATTTATTAGTTCATCAAAACACTCAAGAAGGTTCAGCAGTTGAGATGACTCCAATTGAAGCAGATTTTTCCTGGCAGAAGAAGATGATGCAACTTGAGATGGAAATTCAAGAGGCATTTTTACGCTTTATGGCATCTGTTTTAAAAGGGTATAGAATATTTCTCAGACCAATAACAGAGGCTCCTTCAAATAAAGCTACAGCTGCTGATTCGTTGTTTGACAGACAGGGTGAGTGACATGAAAAATGCAACGGCTTTTATTGAAGTGAACGGTATTTTCTGCTTGGTTTAGCTACCAAGACATACTCACTATTTAAGGTTTAGAAATTCATGTGAAATTATAATGACCTAATATGTATAATCCTTGATGTGTCACTGTTGGATAAGCAATGAACTGGTAACCACAAAGTTGACAGTTCAAACCTGCTAGCTGCTCCCAGAAGCCCCGTGCAGAGTTGCTGTGAGTGGTACACAAGAACAATGACATGTGCAAGGGGACTTTTAAAAGTTCATAGAAAATTCCCATTATCTTTTAATTCCGTTTTTCCACAAATAGTTTGAAACTTCCGTATACTTAAAGTGCCCAGGTGTATAAGTGTTCAACTGCTAACTGAAAGTTCAGCAGTTCAAACCCACCAGCCATTTGGGACAAAGTTGTGGTAGTGTACAGCCGGGGAAACCCTGTAGGGCAGATTTTCTTTGTGTTAGAGGGTCACTATGAGTTGGAATTGATCCAGCAATAACAGGTTGTTAGGTTTTCTTATGTACTTATAATCTTGCTCTGTTTTAATTTTTTATATTCTAATTTTTTCTATACTGTGGGTTAGTGCGCCAGACTGCAAAGCCGTTTGAACTCTTAAGGTAGGTGGTTCAAGCTCACCACCTGCTCCTTGGAAACCCTACACAGGGTTGCTATGGGTTGGAACCGACTTGATGGCACTTAACAACAACAATTTTTCTAAGAAATTTGAAACTGGAGGTCATTAATTATGAAAAGTCAAAGATGTTACTTAAATTTTATAGTGGAGCTTAGCTGGTAATTTGCTTTTAGCTATTTCTTGCATTTTGTGTAGTTCTGGATTTATGTTCTCTGCTTTGAAATGTTCTCTCATAATTTGTTTGTGGAAGGAGCTTGCTGGTGGTTGGTGGTTATGTGCCACTGAGTAGCTTCTGACTCAGAGCAACCCTGTTTAAGGTTTCTGTGGCTGTAAATCTTTACTGGAGCAGGAAGCTTCCTTTTTCTCCCTTGAAGCGCTGGTAGGCTCGAACTACTACTGACCTTGCAGTTAGCATCCCAGCTCATAATTCACTGCTCTACCATGGCTCCTTGTGAAATGAGATTCCTATACTCATCCTGTTTAGCAGTTGTTTTGCTGAATTATAAAGACTTTTGTTGTTAGCTGCTCTGATTACATGTATGACATTCTCTTTCATGTATGTCTTTCTGTCTAAGCCAGAGTGGGACATTATTAATGAAGCTTAGAAAGACAGACGTTTATGCAGTGTCTGGACACCAGGGTTTTGTGGTGAACAGGACAGCATTTGATCTAATGAGGGACAGAGACAGACATGCCACAAATACTAACAGCGTTTTCATGAGTGTTATGAAGGGAAGGGAACTGGCAGCTATGGTCGTAATAACTAGTGTTAGTCACACAAATAATTTTACCTTTTCTCAGTAGCCACAGAATAGAAAATAAAAAAAGGAAAAGATTAAATCAATATATTTTTCTTACCTAATATGAGAGGCTTCTAAAAGTTTATGGAAAAATGAAATTAAAAGATAATAGAATTCTTCAACAAACTTTTTAAAGCCCCGTCATAGATCCAAAATAGTATCAGTTCAACATGTAATCAAAGTAAAAAGAATTATTAATAAAGACTTTTTCATACTAAGCTTTTTCAAACCTGGCACAGGTTTTACACTTACTAGTACATCTGGATTTGTTGAGCCACATTTCAGGTGCCCAATGAGTGGCCACACAGTGCTAGTGGTACAGAATTGGACTGTGACAATCTAGAGGACTGATTAGAGTCCGATTCAGATTCTTGGCAAGCAATGCCAAAAACAGGTGGTGCTTACTGCTTCCTAGTGTGTCATATTGGAAGCTAGGTCACATGGGTACTATCTGCAAGCTTGGGTGTTCTTGTACGTCCCCCACTCACTTCATATCAGCTGGACACTTCACTCTGAGCCCTAGCCCTATGTGGCTATGACCTTGTCCATGGGCTCAGGAGACCACAGGGCTCCATAATTCAGAACAAACAGCCTTTCCTCTTCTCTCTCTCTCATCTCTAGGTCAATGGGGTTCTTTGGATCATGGCTAAACTCAGCCCATATCTTCATTGTTGCCCTTTCCCCACTTCACTCACCAGTAGACCAGTGTGGTCACCAGCAAGCTTACATGGCAGCTCGTGTGATCCCTTTGGGTTTCAGTCTTGGGATAGGGGGTTGTCTTGAAGGGATTTGATTGCTTGCCTTGATGGCTCTCCAAAGAACAACTTGTTTGTCTTTGTAGTAGCCAATCAGACTGCCGTTTTTGTTTTTGGTTTTTCTTGCTGGTCTTTCTTTCAAGAAGTATCTTCTGTTCCTCTGTCTGTTCAAGGCTGGTCTATTTGTCCTGGAAATGTCCCACCTCAGAAGGTTTTGGATGGGGCACAGGATTCCACCTAAGGTCCTATAAACTACCAAGGCTCCACAAAAAGCGTATTTCACTAGGCAAGTTCTAGAGCCTCTCTAGAATTACAATGAGTTATAGACTGAAGATGGGCTTACAAGATTTCAGTAATCATGTTTCCTGATACTCCTTTTTAGCTCACTCAAGTGTCTATTTTACAGTAGTAGGCAAGTGAAATCAATATTCATAAGACAGTCGAGCATCTTTACATTATTTCCCCTCTTTTACCCATTCAGACTATGCTTCCATCCTTGTATTACAGAGCTGTGTTGTTCCAAGGTTGTGCATATATCACTATTTACCTCTGGCCCATTTATCCCATGCAAACCTACCTAAGTGTTCCCCTATCTACCTTGTTCTTTCATACTCCTCCCACTTATTGTGTACTGTCCTCACCAACACCCAAACTATGATGTGTCTATCCCCCACCCTGTGCTCTACTGTCCCCTCCCTCCCACCCCTGGTAACAAACAAAGATCTCTCCCCGCTCCCCTTTTTGTATAGATATTTTGTCTTAAGGTTTTACAATAATGGTCTTGTGCAATATTTGTCATTTTGTGACTGACTAATTTCACTCCAAGGAGCTCTGGTAGCATAGTGGTTACAAATCAGGCTGCTATCTTCAGGGTCATCAGTTTGAAACTACCAGCTGTTCCGTGGGAGAAAGGAGGCTTTCTGCTCCTGTAAAGAATTATAACGTTGGAAACACTGTACAGGGTCGCTATGAGTCAGAACCGACTCCATGGAACGTAACAACAAAAACAATTTCATACAGAATCATGTCCTCAAGGTTCATCTATGTTATGTGGTAGCTTGCAGCTTCCTTGTTACTCTTCAACGTAGTATAATATTCCATTGTGTGTATGTACTAATGTTTATTAGTTCTTCAATTGACAGGCACTTAGGTTGTCTCCATTTTTTTGCTATTATAAATAGTGCTGCGATAAACATTGGTGTTTATCTTATATATCTACTCATGTACAAGCCTGTATTTCTTGTGGGTATATATATACCAAGTAGAGGAATTGCTGGATCATAAGGTATTTCTATTTCCAACTTTCTGAGGAAGCACCATACCGTTTTCTAGAGTGTTTGCATTCCTACCAGCAGTATAGGAGGGTCCTAGGCTCTCTACATCCTTGCCAGCATTTATTGTCCTCTGCTTTTTTAACTTCGCTGTTATTGCTGGTGTGAGATGACATATCATTGTTGTTTTGATTTGCATCGCTCTAATGTCTAATGGAGTCTTGGTGTGGCACTGTGGGTTAATGTGCCAGACTGCAAAGCCGTTTGAACTGCAAAGTCGGCAGTTCAAACTCACCAGCAGCTCCTCTGAGACCCTGTACAGGGTCACTATGGGTTGTTAC